AGGATGCTCTCTTTTGGTTAGCAAGACAATCTCAAGGCATAACAGAGGGCCTGAGAGAGATACATCGGTATTCAACTGTCTCATTCAAGTCGCTCCTTCAAGCAAGCTTCCCCGGTGAAGAGGAGGCGATTATAGCCGAGGCATCTAAGTCAGACAAGGAAGAACAAGCTCCGCGACATCTCTTCGGCCGTCATGGTGACATAAAACCTGAGAACATCCTGTGGTTTCCTTACTCTGATAATAAAGATGACAAGGGGAGAGGAATCCTAAAGATCACCGACTTCGGCTTCGCGGAATTCAGCAGCAGAGAATCAGTTGACAGTCGCAGGCGTGGCTTTATTGCCTTTTCACCCACATATCGCGCACCCGAGCTTGAACTCGACAATCGACTTGTCAGTTGGTCTTACGATATATGGACTCTCGGCTGTGTATATCTTCTTTTCACGACGTGGTGGCTGGGAGGCTGGAGCTTGGTCAAGAAGTTCAGTCAGTGCCGGCTGAAGGCTGACCAAGTCAGTTCACCCGAATGGCAAGGCCAACGCTACGCTGCGGATACATTCTTCGTCATCACAAAGGACTCAGATAAGGGGAAGCGCGCCTTAGTGAAGCCCTCTGTCACCAAGGTTCTACGTCGTGCCAATCCAATACAATCATGAATCGATTTGGCTAACAAGTTTCAGTTCATCGAAAAACTCTTGAAACATGAGCAGAAGAATGATTTTACAGACGATTTTCTACATCTCATCCAGAAAAGCATGTTAATAGTTGAAGAGGAGAACACAGAGGGCAAAAGGATCAGGCGAATGGGCACCAAAGCTGTCGGTGACAATATTCTCCGACTGCGTTGCGAGCGGTGGCCCGAGACGACCAGCGTCACATCAAGAGCGTCGACAATGACCCCCGACTCTGCGAATGGAGCTGTGGCAAACGCGGCTTGATTCCGATTCCCATCGGGGCTTTTAAAATAGGTGGCTCGTCAATTTGTAAAGGGCTGTCCATGTCAAACCTGTCGTGCGTAGTTCTGTGTCCGTCATCCTTTGGCCTGAAGGAACTGTTTAACTGTTGAGGCGCTGAGGATTCATCAATTCAACTGCACAGTACGGAAACTGAGTTCCAACGGAGAGCGCCGATTATTATATTGTTGTTTATATGCATTCGTCCAATTTAAGCTGAAGAAAATATCGCGAAACTCACTGGCCATTTCACAAACTCACTAAATGTCACCCTTGGTACTTTTTTCTTGGCCTGAAATTCCGCCCTCGAACTGGTAGCAGTGAATTTCCGAAATTTTCGACCCTTGTCAGGACCAGCAAGGTTGCGATGTCGCCGTAACGAGACACGGTCATCCCTGTCCCAAAAAGGCATTCGATCACGATGGCGAGTGAACCCCAAAGTAGGGCAGAAAATAAAGTTGACCGACCAATTTGAATAGCATCTTCAGCGATGACGAAACTGCCCCTATCCATCCCCGTCACTCCTTTTTCATTCGCACGTTCCGCGACAGGCGATCGCCATTGGTCCCGCGTCTCATCCCCCGTCATCCCCGACAACAGCCCCGCACCGACTCATCAACCGCCAAAGAGCAAGAAATGGACTTTATGCGTTGTTCTCCCAAGAAAATCCCATCGTCCAATCTTTTCGCCGCTTGCCTTCACGCTTGCTCCCGCCCCACGCCTCCTGGTCCCGCCACAACCTGCCAATTCCAAAAATGTCGTCGGCTAAGCCTGCCCCCGGGAGACTTGGCAGCGATGGCTGGGCGGGGTGTTCGCCACAGGCGAGTTACAAAAATAACGGGCGTCGCGTTGCGATTGTTCTTCTGAACAGTCACACCGCGTTTTGTTCTCTGTTTTCGTTAATCTTTATTGAAATTGTTCGAAGCGATCATAATGGCTGTCAAGTCGAGCATAGTCATCACGGCGTTTCTGGCTGCCGTTAGCGACGCAGTGAGCCTGGGGAGCTTTGACTACAAGTCACTCAGTCTGAGAGAAGTCGGAGCACGCAACACTGAGGTATGGAATTCTCGAAAAATCACGAAACCCACCCAGAATGCTAAATCTGATGCTATATAGGACTGGAGGATATGGCTCACAAAAGACGGCGACCCGATTTCATTTTGGCACGACATTCCCACATGGCCAGATGAGAATGACAGGCAAATCATCAACGTCGTCATTGAGGTTCCTCGGTGGCAAGACGCCAAGATTGAGATGGCGAGGGATGAGCCAATGAGTAAGTCCTAACAAGTATTGCATTGACCTCACGCTAATTATTTTCACCTTCAAGACCCTATTCTTCACGACTCTCGGAATGGAAGCCCTAGATACGTTGAGAACGTCTGGCCGCACAAGTCCTACCCGTTTTTGTACGGTTCTATCCCTCAGACTTGGGAAAGCCCCAACTTCAAACATGAGTTCACCGGATTGAATGGCGATAATGATCCTGTTGACCTGTTCGACATTGGCCAACAGTAAGAGAACACAGAAAAAACGTAGAAGTTGAGCTTCCTGACAGACTGCAGTCCTGGGTACACTGGCCAAGTGAAGCAAGTCAAGATTCTTGGCAGTCTTGCCTTGGCTGATGTAAGTCGCCACGCCCTCGAGCGCCGTCTCATCACATTGCTGACAATTCTCAGGGTAATGAGACTGATTGGAAGATCATGGGCATCGACATCAATGATCCCCTAGCTCCACTTCTCAACTGTAGGTATTCTAGAGTTGGGCTGAAACGTGCAAAGCTGACATTTCAAAGCCTGGGAGGACGTTGAAAAGTACCGCCCGGGGACTATCAAGACCTTCAGAGACTGGTGGACTGTACGTTGAACCATTTGCATCTATGAATGTGAGCTCTGACATTGGCTGCAGTACTACAAGGTTGCTCGAGGTGACCCAGTGATTGATATCGTCGGCGACTGGTACCAGAATGTCACCTTCACGCAGGACGTTCTCATCGACAGCCATCGCACATGGGAGGAGTTGATCAACGGCAAGGTCGACTCGAACGAAATCAACTACAACCAGACGGCAAACTCCGATGTCGCCAAGAGCTACGTCAAAAAGAGCAAGACGACAAAGAAGTTCGACATTCCCAAGAAGAGCAAGATCAAGCCTGCAGCCGACAAGCCCGAGAAGTACAAGGGCTGGTGGTACATTCACAGCAACTACACCTTGCTCGAGGTACCTGAGGTACAGCAATTTTCATTCAACCGGCAGTCGGCTTGACAATGGGAATTTGAAAGAATTCCTTGAGTCTGGGATGAGCCTTTGGTTTCGATCAGTCACAGCATGTTGAGTGGCTCAGTGTCCTTTGGGTTGGTAAAGCATAATGAATGGATCTAGACCTTGGCATGATAATGAAAACGAATATGTACGATATAGTTGGTCTTTATTTGGCAGCGGAGGGCGATGAATGATGGACACCACCTATATCGAAAAACTCTCTTTATAGGAAAGAAGAGGCGGGCGGCTCTTTCCTGGGTCCCTGCTTCCGCGTCCCTTCCACTTGACCTTCGGCGCCGGCAAACGGTTGGTGGCCCCACAAATCGGCAGCCCTACCCGCAAGCTTAATTCTGACTTTTTTCTCCCCGATGTAACTGAAACATTCCGAGTCTGTCCATCTCAACGTCGTCCGTCGCTGTCACTCGCTTCCCCACACGATTCCTATCGGCTTCGGTTGACGGCGTCGTTGCTTCTTGGCTCTTTCTTGGCAGGCATTATTTATCGCGGTTGGACCATCCATCGTCTCTCACTTCCGACGAACGGCAGCGCTAACAGCGGAGCAGCAGATCAGCCGTGGTCTGACTCGCCATCCTCATCTCCCCTCACGCCGGGCCGCTCACCCCATCCCGCCACGGCTCCGGACATCATCCGGGTTCCGGCAGCCAGCTCCGAAGATGGCGCTGGTCGAGGAGCCGAGCGACATGGAAATGCGCATCGACGACGCTACCGTCCAGCTCAGCACCCACCGTCTGACGACGCCCTTCCCTGAATCAGTCATATCTATCACCCGCAACTCATCACCGAACACATCCAAGGAGCATCCTTCATCACCAGAGTTCACCCCGCGAGAGCTCATCGAGCAGGCAAAGGCCCGGAGAGAGCGCCAGAACGCCCGCGATTCCAGATGGGTTGAGCGCGAAAAGGCGAATCGTAGCAAGAGCCCTATCGCGCCCAAAAGGGCATCGACGGGAGGTATCGAGAAGAAGAGATCCAGCGGCAAATGGAAAGCTAGGGCCACCGATGCCAGGCTCTCATCCGAGCTCGATCGCCTCCTCGTCGGCGACAGCGGCTCATCTTCGCCGACCCGGGCCGCGGACCGTCATCCGCACCCGCTTCGCGCCGTACTTCACAGCTTGCCCGGCTTCACCTTCGACACTGAGCTCGACTCCATCAAGTTTCATAAGAGACAGCGCGTAGCGCTCGGGATCGAGGACCTCATGGCAGAGGGTGGCAAAGACTCCGCCAAGGTGTGGCTCGAAGAGTTTCTGGTTCTGACGTTCGAGATGAAGGCGAAGGTGCTGGAGCGGTATCCCATGTGCAAGGAGCTGGACGATGTCCCGCTGGGCTTCACAACTATGGCAAAAGACGTGGAGACGACCATCAACAGGCTGGCGTACGACTCGGCACTCAAGGTCCGCCGAGCTATGGAGCGGCGGCTCTGCCAACCGTACGACATGCGCAAGCTGGTCGAATGGACTATCAAGGCACGCTGGCGCTTCATCGAGACGAAGCCCAAGATAGTGCCTGGCTTTGGGGCGTTCGGACAGGCGTGCAGCGAGGAAGGAACAGCGCTAGAGAAGCGTCTGTGGGCAGTGATTGATGCTAGAGGAATCGGCATGCCTAGATCGCATGCTGGTTGAGGAAGGGAGCGGTTGCAACGCGATGATGAACATGCATTACGAGTATGGCGTAAGGGAGACATACTAGGTCATGTGAGGTGGCCCGGGGACTTTGGAGTTTAGAGGTAGCAAGTAGACATGAATGTGTATTCCTCAGCGATTCCTTCTACTTCTGAGCAGACTCGTGACTCGGTATCCTCGCCTTCTCGACATCCCCCAGACCCCCCGAAACCTTCTTGGCAACGCATCGGCCAGGGTGCCACACCGCGAAGAGTATCACAGCCAACACCACTGGCGCAAACTCAAGCACGCCGAAAAAAACCTCGTTCGAGTACAGGTGCCCTCCCAAGCCCTCCGCAGTCTCCGCGAGACGAAAGCAGGTACGCAGGTACACAAGCAGCGTCGCCGCCGAAAATGCCGACACGAAGACCGTCAGCCGATGCTCCCTGATCATATGCCTCGCCCTGAAGAGGAAAATGCCCGTGGTGACAACAAAGCACCCGATCGAAAACACCTGATACGCCAACCCACCCAACAAGATATTATTCGCCGTCGTTGGGTCCTCTCGGCGCGACTGCTTCACCCCAATCAGCGCCGCGCCTGAGATCTGCGTAATCGTCGCAATCACATCCGACGTGATGAAGAACCACAGCACGACCTTGGGCGGGAGCGGCGAGAAGGCGCGGCCGAGACGGTGGATGAGCGCCGAGAGGATGGTGTAGATGCCCGCGGCGAGGAAGACGGGCGCGGTGACGATGAAGAAGTAGTTGAGGATGAAGTAGATGAGATTATAGGGGTTCTTCTTGGCGGAGAGCGAGCGCGCGACGTAGCCGACGATTTCGAAGAGGAGGCCGACGGGGAAGGTGGCGAAGTACCAGCTGCGATGGCGGAGGAGCTGGGTCGTGTGGATCACGAGGAAGATGAAGAAGAGAGCGGCTGCGAGGCCGGCGAGGGCGATGGATGGGGTGTAGCCGTAGATGATCACGGGCGTGTCCCATTCGCCTGTTGGCGGGGGAAAGTTTGGGTCGGTATAGCCGAAGGATCCTGAGAAGCTGTTAGATGGGATGTGGTTGAAGAATGAGAGGCTGCTTGCCTCTTTGTGAACTCATGATCACTGGATTATCAGGAGCTGCCTAATAGCGCTGGTGCGTTGATGATGCGAGCAAGGATGGAGCTTGAAGGTGGTGAAGATGCGGACGAAGGCTTTGGTATATATCGTGGTCAGGTCCCTAGCCAGAGACTAGGGTCTGCAACACAATGGGATATGTCAATGATGAACGATCTTCTCAAGGCGGATACCTAAACGCAGATCAAAAAACAGGGTTCGGGACAGACGTGACAGTTTGGGGGCCACCTCGTCCGCGTGGGTATTCGTCCGTTGACGCGCGTGGGAGTGGATACCGACGGTCTGGCACTTCGCATGCACCATCAAACCTAGCCCCCAGCCGTTCAGACGCCCAATGAAGCTGCAACTTAATACGGACCACACCTCCAATCTGGATGTCAACAATAATATCCCGAGTGTTATTGGGCGCCGCTCATATTTCCCATCAAGATTCATGCACGAAGGTGTTATTCAACGGCCCCTGATATGCCTACGGCTGAAGTCTATGATTCATCATTCCACGTGTCTCGACGGGTTCAAGCCACCTCTGCGCTTATTTTGACATGCCTGCATGAGGGCGACCATGCCATGTTGGGAAGTGACAGATGCAGCAACCCTGGCTCTTCCCACCTGAAGCAAATCCGTTCTCGGCCGATACCTGTCAACGTCTTTGCGGCTTTATCATCAGTCGCCTTCCTCCTATATCATATTAGAAGTTGGGTACTAATGAGGCACTGATGCAATGATGGTTTGAGCACTGCGAAAGTCTTCTAGACAATACTCAACGCTTTGTGAAAAGGATGACGACGACGGCATCTGTCTCCGTCTCGTTGCATCCCACTCAATGGCGCTCTCCCGAATTACTTACCGTTTTCGTGCTCCTGCCCGGCCTCGACCTCGCACCTCGGCATTGCCAAGAAGTCCGAGGTCCGGGGTTTTGTGGGGCGGTCGTCCGAGACGGCTACGGCAACGTCGATGATAGTACACGGGCTCGATCGTCCGGATGTTTGCTGCAGAATTTGAATATTTTCCAAATGACCAATACCGCTCAATCTTTGGATGAATATCGTGCTTTGGAACGATCAAAGAAGATCAGTCGAAATCTTCAGATCCACCTGCTGTGGGTTGTGAGAAACCTCGTCCTCAATGGCATACAGGGTCTTCAACATCTTCTTCGTCGGGTTTCATGTTTGTCCAACATACGCTTCTACCATCGGAGTGGACTGTGAGACAAATATGACTTGAATGATACGAGTAAAACATGCTACGCCTCCCCTTGCAATCAAATATTGTCCGTCATTTCATTGACAGAGAACTGTTTGGACATCGCACAGTTGGGATGAACTTTTTGATCTGGCAAGCGTTATGTAGCATTGATACCGTCTGCAAAGTCTGTATATTCGACTCATAAATAGTATGAAAAACTCAAGTTTATATGTATCTTTCGATTGCCACACACGCAGAGCTTAAAGAGGATATTACGGTGTCCACCTGCAGCCCGCTCAGCCACATGTGGCTCCTCAAACTCCTCACCGATCAGAATTATCTTTCATCATTTCGAAAGTCAGAACAATAGTAAGCCCTGGGCCAACTCGGGATTTGGTGGCTTCATAGGCAAAAGCGAAATATCTCAAAGCTTATTTCAGCCAATGAGGTTACTCGCGGGACTTTACGTGGGGTCGATTTCACAACATCGAACGCGCTCTGGTGTCTGTGTCGGTAGACATCACAACGTTGTGGTTCAGGTTTGTTTTCATCTCACATGCTCCATGACGATTGATTATCGGCTCCAATTTCAAGGATGTCTCCAAAGCGTAAGGTACTCATGCTTACCAACTCTGAGTACGGCCAAGCCAACATCTTCCTGGCGACATGCTACGCGTTGATGCGCATAGCCCCTGACGTCGAGATCCATCTGGCACCCTTTGCACCGATCAGGACTGCAGTAATTGCGGCCTCTGAAGCCGGTATCAAAGCTCATCCGAACGCCAGCCCGATCAACTTCTACGAAATTCACGGTACGAATTACTTCAAGGCCTTGCTCTCGCCTGAGGTGGGTGGCAGACGACTTCTTGAGATTGCGCCGAGTTTCCGGACAATGCCCACTGTCTTGCGGATTATCGCCCGCGCTGCCATGCCTTGCACCGGACCGGAAATGGCGGAGAACTGCAATGAGATCCGGCGAATCATTGAACAGGTGGAGCCGGATTTGACTCTGGTCGACAACATGTTTACGCCGGGGTTGACTATGGCTCGACATATGGGCATCAAGTGGATGATCCTGTCACCCAACACACTCAAGGATCTTGCATTGCCGCTGCAACCCAATCCAGCTTTCTTCTGGAAGTATCCATGGTATGAGACAGCCTCGCCCCAATCTGCAAGAAACGCTGTCTGATTGATGATAGTGTTGGGACTGCTCTCCCGTTCCCAACTCCATGGCACCTCATCCCACTGAACGTACTATACGTCTTCATTCTCATATTCTTCATGATATTCAACAGTGATGCGCGCAGAGCACGGGATCATGTGACCGAGAAGATCGGAGCTAGGATCTTTCATCAGCAAGAGTTCGGTAATCCGAGCCAAAGTTGAAGATGCTTATGGCGAGCAGCCCAGAGTTCGACTTCCCGGTTGAACTCAAGCCGGATAATATCATCCCCTGTGGCCCTATCATGCGACCAGTCCCAGCAGTCGAGGAAGTCGATCCGGAACTGCATACCTGGCTCGCTTTAGGACCGACGGTGTTCATCAATCTCGGGACTTTATCTTGGACCACGGAAGACCAGGCTGTTGGAATGGCACAAGCCTTATGTTCGCTCCTCGCTGGTTGGCGTGAGAAGGGTGAAGACGGGAGGCTTCAGGTCCTGTGGAAGTTGAAGCAGACCACAGACGGGCATATCGAGTACGACATACACGAGAAGGGCTGTCGTCTTGAGAGAATCCTGAGGAGCGAGTTTGACAATGACACTGTCAGAGTTGTAAAATGGGTAGAGACCGAGCCGTATGCAGTTCTGCGAACGGGAAACATCATTTGCTCGGTCAACCACGGTGGAGCGAACTCGTTTTGGGAAGCACTTTGGTGAGAGACCGCAAAGATCCAAGTTTTCGCAGAGAGCAGTAAAGCTGACATGTAACGATGAAGCACTGGTGTTCCTCAGGTTGTACTACCTGTGTGGGCGGATACCTATGACTTTGCTCAAAGGGTTGAGTATCTAGGTATCGGAAAATGGGGCAGTCCGACTACAACGCCGAGATACCGAGCCGAGGAGCTTAGTGATGCGCTGACACAGGTGATCACCGGTCGTAGTGCTAGAAAGTTCCAACTACGATCAAAAGAGCTTGCAAAGCAGAGATTTCAGTTGGAAGAGGGTCGAGACGTGGTTGCGAGGCATATTGTTGAAAACATCTAGGTCTTTTTGAAAGCAGACATAGGTGAGTAATTCATTGTGCGTTTGCCATCTCCGACGCATTCGCTTTTTAGTGGCGATGTGAAAAACAATTTTGGTGGTAGAGTCGGAGTGTATATCAAATAGCGTTTCAAATCATCTGAAAAGATTCGCTGACATCGTGATTGGTCAACCGAAGACACCATACATCGGCCTGCCTTCCTCACGAAGGTGGTTGAGTGTGGTTTCAAGCAACTTGCGCAACATAGAGATTGAAAAGAAACCCCTGCCAAATTCCCATACCATCTCAGCTTCTCTCCCTATTAACCCTGTATTTGTCATTGCTCTGTTCGTTTGCCTGCCCTTTACACTGGGCGCGTTGATCAGGGCGTAAAACCTCGTGTCTTGCCGGCTCCTGTTAAGATTGCCTGTTTCCAGTGGGCAATGGCCTGCCTTCATACAAAACCGTCAACAGACGTGAAACGCCCACTAGGACTGAGGTCTTGGCTTCAAACAGCACACCCAGATACGGGCTTGGTAGCACCAGAAGCAGAGACTCCCATTCGCTCCATCCAGAGGTGACTAGAACGAGAAAACCCGAAAGTCCGAATCCCAGGATTGCGGCGGCCGCTTTTGCGTTGGCCACATGGGAGCCATTTTCAATTAACGGCACAAGTAGGGCCATGAGACACAGAAGGTAGCTGATACTGAGAAATACAATCCCCAAGATAATAACAAACATGTTTGCTTGAGCTCATGGGCTGTAATACATGCCGGCAACCCATAGCCAAGACGTTGCTGTGCCAGAGAGAATCATAAGACACTCCCCAGCTGAGTGCGGCGCGTCCTCCGAAGGAAACATCCTCAGAATTGAGCCGTTCTCCGTGATGTTTGTGATGTAGGTGTTGCCGACGCGTTCGGTTGAGTGTTTTGCACCGTTGGGGACGTAAACGCGAAGGTTATGGCTGCTATCGCACCCAGACACGTGAAACGTCTACTGTTTAGAGAGAGGCCACGCGTTGTAAAGAAGTCAAGGTATTAAGTGCACGACGAAAGCTCAGAGACTGAGAGGTGGCGGAGATGCGGACTTTGTATGCATTCTTATGTGTTCTCCAGGTGCCCAACGAGTTTAAAGCTTGGATTAGCCACCATATACCCTGATGTCGAATAAATGGATGCCTAGCTTAAGTTAACTCTTAATTTCTCGGTCTGTCCGCGTGGCGCCGTTATGATGGAGCCGAGCGAAACGCCTCATGTGCAGCCTCACAACTTTATGGGTCTGTCAAACGATACCTTTTATCAAACATTCGAGAAAACCGCAGTCTCTTTCGTACATTAAAACTTTCAGTATTGGCCGCGAAGGCAGCGTGGTTTTCTCGAATGAATGATTTCTATTTCATGCTCGAAGTAAAGCTCTCCAGATTGCACTAACTGGGCACATCAATGCCATCTTCCTTTCCGATTTTCTGTCCACTTTCTGTCACCTCTGCCATCATACCCTGTCATTCAAATCCTTTCCTCGCGCCTGCTTTTCCGCTGCCCCTATGATCCTTCTACTGTGTGATCTCACTGTTTCAGCCGCTAAGGTGGCCAGAAGTGCTCGATTTGGACAGCTTGGAAGCTCCTTAGAAGCATCATTAGCCCCTATGCAGCCTGCAACCCGGATTCGTCTTCGTCCACTCTTAATGGCAGTACTCTCTCTTCGTCTCTACAACGTGCAACGAGGCCACGAAGCGTGAAATTGTACATCCTCAAATTTGACGTAGAGATGCCGCATCACAACGACTATTGTTCAATGTTCCATTGACGAGTTGGTGTTTGCAAATGCTGCAAAATCGGGTTTACTTAGTCCTCCTTTGCCGAGTTGAACATTGATGCACTTAATCAATCTGACTAGAACGAGGGGCACAATCAAACGAGCCTCATGGCCTACGTGCATCTTTTGATAGAGTGCTATCAAAACCGAGGATCAAAACCGAGGATCCAGGGCGGCATTTCTCTCCGTGTCACGCGATATCTGTGAACGCGTGTATGTCCGTAAGTCCGTAAGTCCGTTAGATCCATAGGCCCCTGTTCAGGTCACGACCTGCAAGATCTCATCCACCATGACTGTGCTTATGTTGCCCTTGCCGTTGACGTCACTCATCGTAAGCGTCGTCAACGTTGAGGGTAACTCTGAGGGGCCAGAGTCTCGGAACCAGTCTTTGGGTGCCACTGGGATGATGCGTTGTCGCATTTGGCCCTGTTCAACATGCGTCTTTCATGTCGCGAAAGATTAACTTTACGATAAGGTAATTGACTTCTAATACGTCTTGGCACTATCACATAGTTTAACCTTCTTTTGATTGGCATCTCAGAGGTAACTTGCATTTTACTTGGCAGGCACGAAGCACGTGCATCGGGAGCCACAATCGCGACCTTTGCGAGATGCAGATCGCTCTGGACGAACTCGTTCGGATGGATATTACGAATCCCATGGAGTCTTCTCTCTTCTAGAACATGCACGACGGGATCGGTATTACGGTAGTTCGGACAGGAATTCCGGGCATTCCCGCGCGCCACAGAGCATCCCGGTCCGGGACTCTAGGACGGGTCCGGCGAACTGCCGAAGTGGGTCTTTACCGACCTGATTCCACCCGCCTCCACGCCAATACCACGCTTCTCCCGCCGGATGATGACGATGCATTTTAGCCAGCCACGAACCGAGGAACCACTTTCAGTCAGCGCTGACGAGTGTGGGGGCGTTCGAATGTTTCGAACCACAATTGTAAGCTGCCAAGAAGGAAGAGTAAACATGATCCGAGCCTGCCGGAAAACATCACAAGACGAACCAGGAGCGTGGTGAAAAGAAACCCAACAGCCTTACATCCGAGGAGAAGTAATACGGATCTCTGCTTCAGGAATAGGGTCTTTTGTTTGATTGGTCGGATTATGAAAAAAAACTGACTGTCGAATCCAACAAGCTTACTCTCTCGAGCAGTAAGACGGCGCGTCATCCTGAATCCGAATGGGTGCCTAGAGGTTAAGTTATGCTTTGGCCGCTAATGATAACCAGAAATGATTAGAGGAACTTGTACGCAACCCAGAATAAAGTGCCCGTTCGTCGCATTTGAAGTCTGCATTTGTGGAGATACAAGCTAAAGCCTGCCTCCGAGCTACCCACTAAGAAGCATTAGAGCATCGGCGGTCACGATGTCAGGTACCCACCTAAACGTCTTTCTGGGCCCATGGTGGTGTCCTCCCGGGGATTCCATGACCGCATCTTCCACCTTTCTACAACAATGCTATCCGATGGCAGCTCTCTGTATCCCCACCTGATGGCAAAAAAACGCCGGGCACATGATGGAGCTAGGAAGTGGTGGGCATTTCGCAAGGAATCTCACCCAACGCTGAGCGTTCGCTAGTTCAGGCATGCCGGAAGGCGCCGGATTGGCACGCTCGGATATCCACATAGCTCTACGGCTGCACGAAGTACCAATCCAGATTCTGAATCTTGATAATACTAGCATCAGCAGACAATTGCGTGGGAATGGCGCTACTCCGAGAAAGTATTTAAACAAGTCAACGGCCCCGTTGATGCTCAGTCACATTCCATCGTCCGACTGCAGTGAGAGAAGGCATTTTTGGGAGAATAACCCGGCAACAGGCTTCACTCAACATGCATACCCTCAACTTGGTAACGTCTCTAGCGGCCTCTGTCGGTCTGGCCAGCGCTTCGTCGGTCCTTCTACAGGGTGGCACTATCGTCGGCTTCGATGACCAGACCAACTCGCTCAACGTCGTCCGCAATGGCTCCCTCCTCATCACCGACGACCGTATCACGGCTATCTACACCGCCGAGGAGGCTGCGAATCAGCCCGTCAGTGGTAACGAGACGCAGGTTGTGGACGTGACCAACAAGATTATCACTCCCGGCTTCGTCGACACTCATCGCCATGGATGGCAGACTGCCTTCAAGACCATCGGTTCTAACACGTCCCTCGCTGAGTACTTCACCCGCTATGGAGAATATGCCGCTGCTGGTCTTCTCAGTGCCGACGATGTATACATCGGCCAGTTGACAGGGCTTTATGAGGCTCTCAATGCTGGTGTCACTACCACCCTCGACCACGCTCATCACACATGGTCCAACGCTACTGCAGAGGCTGGACTGAAGGGCAGCATCGACAGCGGTGCAAGAGTCTTCTGGTCTTACGCTTTCCATAACGTTACCAATTACACAGTCTCTGAGCAGCTTGCGAACTTCAGAGACATCGCAACTAGGGCCGAGTTTGATGGGTCTGCCACAAGCCTTGGTGTTGCCTGCGACTTCTTCGGTCCCGACCCGGTCCTTGACCAGGTCAATGCTGTCGTCGACCTTGCCAAGTAAGATTTCTCACCACGAGACTGAAGCCTCGAGGCATTTGCTAACATGCACTTAGGGAGTTCAACGTCTCGGTCATTACAACTCACAGTCTTCAAGGGCCTTGGGGCAGTAAGTTATCTATCAAACCTCCTCGTCAAACAAATCCAAGGCACTGACAGCTCCTCCAGTTACCAACAGCCCTGAGGACCTGCATGCAGTCGGTGCCCTCAACACCAGCATCCCCGTCGTCTTCTCGCACGCCTCATTTTTGACCTACCGCGGCGCCTCTCTCCTCCGTTCCACAAACCAGTACATCTCCATCACCCCAGAATCCGAGATGCACTACGGCCACACCCACCCCAACAGCCACCTGATTCAGGACCAAGCCGCGATCGGCGTCGACACCCACTTCACCTTCTCCACCGACATCCTCACCCAGGCTCGTCTCTGGTTGCAGAGCACCCGCCGCTTACTCTACCAGCAGGTCCTGGCCCACTGGAAGATCCCCACCTCCACTCCCATGACGGCCAACCAAGCATTCCTCATGGCCACCCGCAACGGCGGCCTCGCCCTGCGCCGTCCCGACCTGGGCGTCATCGCTAAGGGGGCCAAGGCCGATGTTGTCGTCTGGGATGGCGAGAGTCCTGCGCTTCTTGGCTGGATCGACCCCGTCGCTGCAGTGATTCTTCACGCCAGCGTTGGTGACATCCAGCATGTTCTCGTTGACGGAAAGTTTGTGAAGAAGAACCGCGAGCTGGTGGCTGCCAACTACTCTAGTGTTCGTACAGAGTTCTTGAAGAGCGCACGCAAGATCCAGGATACTTGGAGGAATATCCCATTCGAGGCTCTGGACGGGGCTTTCAGCGCGTCTGGTGCTGCTTATGAAGCTCCACTTGAGGTTGATGTTCTCACTGGTGAGCAGTCAGGATACGGAACGACGTTTGTTTAGTTCGTTTGTTAAAAACATGTTTCATGTACACATAGGACATAATGTTTCAATGTAATTACTGCCCATTCAAAATTTCGCAATGACTCACTGAGGTGGCGGCTCAAACAAAGTTCATGTGTCATAACCATTTGGGGGCATAAGCCAAAGTTGCATTTTGAGATTAATGTAATAGGTTTAAATGGGAGTTGTGTTGTTGAAGACATGAGTAGTAAAGGGCGTTGGTGTTGAAACACAAATCCATACCTAGCGAGCTCATCCGACGTGGTAGGAAATCCGAAACACCCTCTCCCTATCTACTGGTCCTCCTTCTACTCTCCACGAAAGCCTCTGCCTTCTTTAGTTGCCGTTGACCATGCCGGGCTCCCTGCCGTTGATGTATTGCCAGAGTCTGCTTTCGTTGGCTACCTTGTTCTTGTCGCCCTTGCGGAGACCTCTTCCCTGCACCATTGTGGCATCCAGGAAGTACTTGTGGCCCCTGCCCTCCTTGCCCTCGACGACGCCAGTCAAGGTGTTGTTAAGGGGAAGGATTCTGTCGAGGTAGTGCTGGTTAAGCAGGTGGCCCCACTTGCCCTTGTTCTTGAAGAGAAGTCCGTTGAAGTTGTTCTGTCTCGGGGTGACGCCAAGAATGCTGGCAATGGCAGTTTCATGCGACTGGCGCTTGTGGCGGTGGCTCTTCTTGGAGTGGTTCTTGGCCTCCTTGGTCTGCTCGGAAATCAGAGACTTGAAGTGGGTGACACCCCACTCGGCGACAAAGTCACCATCGTTGGCGTAGTGCTCAATATGTCCGACGACGTACTCGCCCTCGTCGATCTTGGGGTTGTTGAAGTGGTTGGCAGCGTTTCCGAAGGTGTAGATCTCGAGCTTCTTGAGATCCTTGCGGGCGCAGTGGGAGAGGAGCCAGTCGAGAATGATGCTGCCCTCAAGGCCACCCTGAGAGTGAAGAATGAGAACGACTCTGTCCTTAGCGGGGTCGGCAACAGCTCCAGCGATAAGAGCGTAGCACTCTCTGGTGTCGGTTGTGCCGAAGTAGAAGCATCTCTCTACGAGACACTGGATCGTGTCGAAAATGACGCCAGCTCTGTCACCAATGTGTTAGGCCGTGCGTTCGTGATTATTACAGTCGAAGTTACTTACGTCTTGTTGTGGACACCAGTGATGGGACGGTGGAACGTTCTGGACAGTCTATTGAGATTGCCCTGCAGCCAGTGGGAGCTTTTACTGTGTCAGCAGGATCAAAGAATTGATTTCGACGGAAACTAGTCTACTTACCCAACGGAGACACCGTTGAGGAAAATCCACTTCTCGTTCTCGTGCTTAACCCAGTTCTCAGATTCAGTGATCTGGTGGGACTCGAGAACACCTCCATTGACACCGGCGTTGAGAGGAATGCAGGCGAGGTAGTTGATGGTGACGAAAGCGATGGCGTAGGGCAGGACCGCGGTGAACGGGAAGGTTGCGATGAAAGGGAGAGACAAAAGGAAGGCAAGTTGAGTGGCAATCAGGACGCTGTGAGCAGCCAGGCAGATGAGGTTTCCGACGGAGGGGTAAAGCTCGTCCATCTCACCAGAGGGGTAATGAGGGTCGATGATGTGTTGGAACCTCTCCTGGAAATAGGTGACTGCGCGGTTGATGGCGCCAAACCGAATCATGTGAGGGACCCAGGCCTGGTCCAGAGGCGGGTATCTGGTGTGGCCGCGGTGAGGGTACGCCAACGGGAAGACAACGACGGGAAGCTTGTAGGCCTTCAGGATGAAGAGCTTCAAGTCATCCCACAGAAGCTGCCATGGTGGGGCTGTGTGGTATGCCGGCAGCTCGACTACGACCTTCTCAACTTGCGTTCTGCCAGCCTTGTTGACGGAGGTGACCTCGATGGTCTCGGTGATGTTGGTCTCTACGGTCTCGTAGACCTCGACGGATTCCGTCAGTGCTGCGGGAGAGGCCATGGTGATGTTGTCGTGATCTCGGATCACTGAGAGAACACCTGAAAACTGAACCAGATGAGATTGGGAGCCTGACTAAACACAACTAAGCTCCGTGGCAGAATCTCAGCTTATATCATGGACGAGCCGTTGGCATATGTTCCTTCTTCACATGCAGTTTCTTGTTTGTGATTATTGTCGTGAGACCTTTCGATACCGATCCCCGCAAGCAGAATTCCTTCCAACGCCCGACAAGAATTGAGTTCGAGTTGATGTCTCTCAATCACATGCAAAATGTAGTCGTCTCTGCACAGAAAGTTTGTGAAACGTGAGACCAGATACTCGGTGGTCGGCCAGTGTCATTTATGAGGTCTTACCCTGATAGCTCAGTGGCGCCTGGTACAGCTTTTGAACACAGCGTGGTAAATATGCAGAGTCATTGCTATGTTTCGGCCTGTTGTTGTATTTTGATGCTGACAACTTGGCATGGAATTTCTTTTGGAATGTCCTGCCGCTTTGGGGTACTGCTAGTGTGAGAAGCTGATAAGGCAGGCGTGACAGGGGGAGTCGATCATCTGCATTGGGCATCCTTATCGCACAAGATGCGTCTTTGTGTCTCGGATTTGGTGTCTCGGGGACTCCCGCCTAGCAATCGTACACCTCTCAACCTGCAGCTTACGTGTTGATACCAATTTGATATGCTGAATACGAGTCCGAATTCGGGATGGAAAGAAATATGACGAGCTCTGTATCCCTTCCATCGACAGTTTTCTCGAGAGTGCCCTTGCTGAAGCCAAATAGTAGATGATTGTCCGAACTTCTGATGGCATTCCATGTCCTTGGGTCTTTCTGTTCTTATTCCCGGCTGCCTCGTAATGTGACACCAACATTCTGCAGTCGATACCACGTGATCAGTTGTGCGCCATTCCTCGAACATCGCAACTAGTACACGTAAGATTCTCACCAGTGCTACCTACCAGTGTCACCAACAAACCCCGCAATTTTGGCCACAACTGGGCAGCAGAAAAAAGTGGTAAGGCTGTTTTTTCCCACTGCAACAATCACAAGTAATCATGACTCGGATTCCATCGGCTCCGCTCTAACCGGTCGTAGCCGAGTCCGTCTCTCATCCCGCGGCCACCGCACGCAAAAGCCACGTTAATGGCGTGCTCCAACAGCTGTTTACTCCGCATATTCAACTTCCGAGAGGAGTCTCAGCCACACCGGAATTTCAACTTCATTCCGAACGCGCCTCCACCTCCATAGAGAAGGCGGGAAAAAGCAACAACAACAAAGATTCAACGGTTGTGTTTTGTTTACTCTCTCAGAATGACCATGGTTACCCAATCCACGCCGCCCGCGCCACAAGACGATTTGAAGACGGTTGTCGAGAGTCGGACCCGGGAGTGGCACTTTCACATCTACTTCCTCCTGCAGTCGCCCACAGAGACTGCGCGCGCGCTTGCGCTTCGTGATGCTGTGCTAAGGCTTCGCCGCGATGGTAACACTGGTCTACACGATGCTTATGTACCAGCCACTGATGCTCATGCACAGGCGCGTTCGTCGCTGTCCCGCTGTTCCGCGTGAATGAGTATCCTATTGGACCTCACCCCGCCGGATCATACGAAAGTTTGTAGACCTGAAATTACATCAGCGCATTTGTGTTCGTGCAGGCTAATTAGCCGTATCCAGTCTGGGTTCCCGACTCTTCATTCTCGGATGTCTTCTACTACTTGGCATCAAATCGAGGCAACCTAAGGTGCGCAGATAACCAGAAAAGGTGCCAGTCATCACAATGCCCAAGTCTGTATCTAACACAGCGCTCAGTGTCCTTGTTCACCCATTGACATCAAAACAACGCCGGGATCACGAGTCCAGTAATGCCTGGATGGGAAATCCGTGGCCCATTTACCTAGATAGTCTACCCCGTGACGGTGAAATCCCGCTCCAGTACCCCGAACTAGGCCTTGGCTGGTCAACATCGCCTGAGCAAGAAATTTCCTTGGAGGAAAGGCGGAAACGAGGAGCAGAGCTTGAAGCACTTCTAGCCAACGACTCAGAGGCTGCTCCGGCCCCAAAAGACTAAGACAAAGCTTCAAGAGGATGATTCTCGGAGGGATGGTGGTATGACAACTTGGAGTAGTAGTATGGGCTGGAGGATACGGTTGTTCATATCAATGTAACGTCCATCAAGGAGAATCCATCAAGACCATGTGGGACCTTTTTCCGCAGACCCCGAGCCACCGCCAATGCGTTTGTACTTTCCCTCGCCCGCTTCTTCAAGACGCAAAAGATCCGCGCCGAATTTGCTGACCACCCTCAACACAAGCACCCAGCAATCTCGTCCCGTGTCTCGGTCACGATCCAGGACTACCGCGTCTTGAAAATTCGCGCTATTAAGATTTAACACGCCTTGTCGAATTGATTGACCTGTCTTCCTCTGGGTGGGAGTATAGCACATTTTGGCCATGAGTCCACGCAGCTTCAAGTCTCCTTCAATCCTTGACGCTGCAAAATTGTCCATTGCAACATTCATATCAAAGCCTAGGGCTTTCAATGATGGATGTGTCGGCTCTCTCCTCGGTGGGAACCAAATTTTCCCATCAATACTAGCCCAGCTCCAACTCGGGGCTCTAGGTTTCGCGGGCTGACGCAAGCCTGGGGCACTTTCCTTGTCTGAAGTATTGGCCAGCCAAAAGATGCCAGTGAGGATATCTTCTGTCCAAAGTCCAGCAATATACGAGCCGCCAATCTTGGCGGATGCGAAGCGGCTGGCGACACCGGCCAAAGCCGGCAACTTGTCGCTCTCAAACGTCAAGTCTCGCGTGCTGAACTCTGTCACAATGGTATACCAATCTCGCATGCTCGTCGGCCTTCCCAGCGACAGCGTTTTGCGCGCCTTTTCGAAGCCCAGGGGTGCGGCTGAGTAGTACGCATCGTGGGGTATCCCATCCTCTCGGGTTGTGACCGCGAAGCATTCCCAATACATCTGTTCACGTCCGATGTATAGCATGAACTTGGAGAGCGCCCATTCCTGCATACACCATCCCCGGGTGTTGAGGAGGCCGCCGCCAATGGCCTGGTGGTAGTCTAATGGGCGTTCGGAGAACACATATCCTTGAC